GGAACCAGCATTACCCTAATACCAAAAGACCAATATCCTCAATGACTACAGATGCAAAATCCATTTTAAAATAGTAGCAAATAGGATTCAACAATATATAAAAAGAATTATACACTGTTACCAAGTGGGGTTTATTCCAGAAATACAAGACTGGTTCAATGTTCAAAATCCATTGGTGCATATAAAAAAATTAATTAAATTTAATTCTTAAAAAATTTCATTGGTGCAACTCACCATATTAATAGGCAAAAGAAGAAGATTCACATGATCATATTAATCGATGCAGAAAGAAAATTGACAAAATTCAACACTCATTTATAATTTTAAAACTATCAGGAAAAAGGAGTAGAGAAGAACTTCAGCTTGATAAACAGCATCTGCAAAAGCCTACAGCTAACATTATACCTAACAGTGAAAGACTGAATGCTTTTCCCTAAGGTCAGGAACGTCCACTCCAGACTGGGAGAAAATATTTGCAAACCGCATATTTGACAAAGGACTAGTATCTAGAATCTGTAAAGAACCCTCAAAAGTCAACAGTAAAAAAAATCCAATCAGCAAATAATGGGCAAAAAACATGAGGAGACATTTCATCAAAGAGGATGCACAGGTGGCAAATAAGCACATGAAAAGATGCTTAATAGTATTTATTAGGGAAATGCAAATTAAAACCACAATGAGACATCATTATGTATCTTCATGATTGAAATAAAAAAGAGTGACAACACCACATTGGCAATGATGCAGAGAAACTAGATCATATATGCATTGTAGGCAGGGATGTAAAATGGTACAGCCACTCTGGAGAACGGGTTGGCAGTTTCTTAAGAAAAAAACTAAAAACCGGGCTTCCCTGGTGGCGCAGTGGTTGAGAGTCCACCTGCCGATGCAGGGGACGCGGGTTCGTGCCCCGGTCCGGGAAGATCCCGCATGCCGCGGAGCGGCTGGGCCCGTGAGCCATGGCCGCTGAGCCTGCATGTCTGGAGCCTGTGCTCCGCAACGGGAGAGGCCACAACAGTAAGAGGCCCGCATACCGCAAAAAAAAAAAAAAAAACCTGGAAACCTAAACATGCAACTACCATACAACCCAAGTAGTTGCACACTTGGGCATTATCCCAGAGAAATAAAAACTTATATTTAAATTTTAAGTACACAAATGTTTATAGTAGCTTTGTTATGCTCTAAAACTGTAAACAGCCTGATGTCCTTCACTGGGTGAATGTGGTCCATCCACACTATTGTGGCACTATTACGTGGCACTAAAAAGGAATGGATGATTGATACATGTAACAACCTAGATGAATCTCCAGAGAATTATGCTGAGTGAAAAAAATTGAATCCCAAAAGGCTGTATACTGTACAATTCCATTTATATAACATTTTTGAAATGACAAAATTATAGATATGGAGAACAGATTAGTGATTGCCAGGAGTTAAGATGGGAATGGGGACAGAAAGCGGGCATAGCCCTTAGAGGGCATCCTAAGGGATCCTAGCAGTGATGGGAACGTTCTGTACCTTATGTATTAATGTCAGTATCCGGTTGTGGTGTTGTACTATTTATAGTTTTGCAAAATATTACCATTGGGGGAAATTGGTGAAGGTTACACAGGACCTCTCTGTATTATTTCTTAAAGCTGAGTGTGAACCTACAATTATCTCAAAATAAAACATTTAATTTTTTTAAATTAGAAAAAACTGGGATCATGCTTTACATATGTTTTACATTTTATTTTTTATAATATATCATGAGCATTTTCTCTTGGTTTAAAGTAGTCTTATATTTGTTGACTGCTTATATTTCATCTATGGATATACTATAATTTTTTAATTGTTTTTCCTATGGATCTGGATTTTTTAAAATATTTTGCTATTATTATTTTAAAATGCTGAGAACAGCATCCTGATGTCCATTTTTTTAAAAACAGCTCTAATGAGATACAAATAACATAACCATACAAGTCACCTGTTTAGAATGTACAGTTTAATGTTTTTTAGTATTTTCAGTGTTGTACAACCATCACCACAATCTAATTTTAGAATGTTTTTGTTCCCCCTAAAATAAGCCCTATACCCATAGCAGCCAATCTCTGTTCCTCCCCGCTCACCTGCCCCAGCCCTAATCAACCACTAATCTATTTTCTGTCTCTATCAATTTCCCTATAGAGACAAGTTCTGGACATTTCATATAGATGGAATCATACAGTATATGGTCTTTTGTGAGAGGCTTCTTTCACTTAATGTTTTCAAGGGTCATCCGTGTTGTGGGAAGTGTCAGGGCTTCATTCCCTTTATTGCTGAATAATATTCCCTTGTTATGAATATGTCACATTTTATCCACTCAACAGTTGACGAACATTGGCTCGTTTTCATTTGAGTGGCAAATATAAATAGTGCTGCCATAAACATTCCCATATAACATTTTGTTTATGGACTTATGTTTTTATTTCCTAGGAGGGGAATTGCTGTGTCATATGGTAATCCTATGTCTAACTTTTTAACCTAGTGTCCATTTCTGATTATTGCTTTAAGGTACATTCTTAGCCATGAAAATAACTGGTCAAATCATAGCACATCTTTAAAGTTTCTGATGCACAGTGCCAAATTATGCTCCTAAAAATTCTGCCCCGACCAGAGCAGGACACTTTGACAGTACAAATCCGGGCTCCAGAGGTTCTTCCAGGATTGGTCCCACAGTTATCTGATCTGCTTGGAGCTGCAGCAACTGCCGAGGTAGCCCACTCCTTTCCGGGACAAAGCTTAGTAGAAGGAACCAGAAGACCCGCCTTCCTCTCCCAGGCCTCCTGCTTGCTGGCCATGCAACCTCCAGCGAGGTATTTATTTCCTCTTTTGCAAAAGGAAGTTAATGCTCGTCTGCCTACCCCACTCAACGTTGGCAGATCAACGTAGCAACTCGGTGTAGGAATGCTTTTCCAATGCGGACACACCCAGACACGAGTGAGTCTGGCCAAGGGATCACTTTTTGAGAAGCGTTGCTTAACTGGGTTGTCCACTGAGCCTTGATTTTGGGGTGGAACTTGGCAGTCAGGGGTCAGTGTTTGGTTGGCTCAAGATATATCTACTTTAACAGTACCTGAGGACAAAAAAGCTTTCTTTTTTTTTTTTTAACCATGAATGTGATTGCACAGCACACTTTTGATGTGTCATTAAGCTACACCACACACACACACACACACACACACACACACACACACACACACACACACAC